TTTTTATTCTGCATAGTTAAGGAGTTATAGCGGAAAAACATTACGGAAGGGGAGTTTCGTGTAGGTGTCGAAATATATCAAAAGAAATACATATATTCTGCTTTGAAAATTATTTTATTAGATGTTCAAAGAGTTGTCCATTCGCTTCCAAACATGTATTTATCCTTGTGATAATATCTTTGCCGACATTTGATAATATTGTTAGACTTATGGATTTACATGCGGTGTCAATTCTTCTTTTCATATACTCTTTTGTAGTAGGTGTCGTTGCCACCACATTTTCCTCTATGTAGCCCCATAAAAAAATCAAAGTTCATTTATCGTATTAAAATTTCAGAAGTTCAGCAACATAATTTAAGCCACTTAATAAATTAAATTTTGCTCACATGCAGCTGAAATATATGTTGCAAACTATTCATGGTTTCTTATGCCTGCAACACTACACAAAATTCTTATTCATGGTGCAGATAGTATAAGTACGAGTATCCTACCCGTAGGAATGCTTAGCGAAGAAGCTAGTGAAGCTCGTAATAAAGATTTTTAAAATTACAGGCAATATCATAGTAGAAAAATAAGTCATAAAATAACTTTGGCAGATGTATTTTATAGATTAATGGATACATCAGATATTGTAATAGCAACTTTAAATATTAATTCACGCCTAAGGAAAAAGAAATTTTTATTCATTCCACCAGAGATAAATCATTTGTTAGCTGCTCCTGAAATAAATGTGAGTAGCTGTACTATTTCTCATATACACGATAATGACAGTGAAGACATGACTGCAGATGATGACGAAGGGAGTAAAAATACAGATCTTCTACACACTTTCACACAATTAGATAAGCTTGAACTGGCAAATGAACTGACAGAATTTTAAATATATGTTCAATAAAAAACGATTGACGTTACCTACAGAATCATAAATAGCAGCAAGATGACTCACTTACATTCTTTAACATCTCGAGTAGTGAGAGGTAAGGGGACTTACTCTAATAAAGTACCCCAAATTACCGAAATGGTAATTAAAGAATTACAGAAATTCAGGGCAATTACCGAAATTCTAGGCAAACTACAGGCGTTTCTATTAGAAAATCTTATTTTTTAATATTATAGCAACCTTTGTGAATCCGATATTTTGAATTTTGAATTTTTAGTGTTATATTCGTTATCAGCGACCTTGAAAACCCCTAATTACCAAGTTTCAGAAATATCGGATGAAATCTTGACTTTTGGCCAGTTTTGGGGGGTTCCTGGCCCACTGGTGCACTGTGCGGCGATAGGAACGAGTCTACGAGTGAAATGTACGGACGTTAAAGTGTTAAATAGTATATGTACTTTTTTTTATAAGTGGAAGCGTTTCGGAGATTTTAAGGTCAACTTCGTTATTTTAAATGGAATGCTATATTTTTTATGCCAAAATATCTAATTCTGAGTAAAAAAGTATTGACCTTTATTAGCCCTAAACCTAATAATTAATGAATAATTTCGCTTCGTTTCTTCGTCCTTAAATATTATTTTGTAGCGTGTACTATTTTGTGTATACATATACTATATACATATGTATAATAGGAATATGTAGAGTAAGCATGCAACGACGTAACGTACCGAGGACTCAAGTAAGTAAGTATGTACTTACACGCGGCCATAAAATTGACCGTGCTCAGCTGCTTCCCTAGCTTCCCAATTTTGCATAAAAGGCACTTTTTTTACTAAAAAGATAGAACTCCTTGACATTCTCTCCACACACTTCCGTTCTTTCAATCAGTCTCTCAGTTCTTTTATTTTTTCGTGCTATGCGTACCGGAACAACTCTCCTACGAGTGTCAACTGCGACGACAACTACTTGTGCTAATTGCGTGGATTGAAGTGGATTAAAGTGCGCTTCAGAATCATCACCAGTTACCTTCATGGACTGAGGGATCAAATCAACAACCTCGGAACTCGGACACGACTGCAATTCGTTGGCTCGGGGCCGCCATTGGAAAGCGCTCAAACTGGCGCTATTGGCACCGCCATCAGCCTCATGCTCGAAAATTCGTACTTCGCTACAGCCAGGCATACCGACTATATTGACAAGCTCGCTCGCCAAGCTACTGGCGGCTACAGGCCCGGTTGCAGCTGGTGGTGTGTCCTCTTCCCCTTCCTCATTCTCCTTCCCTTAGGAGGAACAGGCGAAG